AGCTTTTGGCAAGTGCAATCATTTAATTCTCACCACCCTGTGTAGGGAAGAGTTACCATAGCAGCCCCTATACAGAACAGCCTCCTTGTGGGGCTGGTCCATAGCTACATTCTGGGAACTTGGCTTTTGGAAGGTTCCCTAAGCCACTAACTGATAAGGCAACTCTGCTCTATCAGCTGGCCCAGATTGGACAAACAGTGTGATTTATGGAGAACACCTGCTCTCCTCTGAGAGTCAGAATGCTGATGAGGCAGGCCAAGCAGGCAGGGTGTATCCTCAGGGGCAGCCCTCAGTGGAAACCTTGGGCTCTGAGTGTCAAGAAGCTTCCCTGGGCAGAGACACTGAGCCTGTGCTACTGCTTTTCACTGCTGGAGGAAGTGGCCAGTTCAGTGCAGCCTCTCTTAAGAGGGAGAACATAGGAAATCTGTGCCTGGATTTCTCCAGACTGCACCTAAGGTATCTTTTAGTCTTGGTGATCCTACTATGGATTCTTTCACTGTAATAAGCCTCAGCCATGAATACAACCACAGGTTGAGTCCTAATATAGCACCAGACATGTGGGTGCCCATAGGAAGGAACTATGGGAAAAAATCCAAAGCAATTCTCAAAGATATACTCTGAATGTGACTCTAAATCCACTCCTTTAAAAATCTGAACAATGGGTGCCTCGGGTAATGCTGCAGCCGGCGACGACAGCATCCCTTATGAGCGCTGGTTTGAGTCCCTGCTGCTCCACTACAGATCAGCTCCGTGTTAATGTGCCTGGGAAAGCAGCTGAGCATGGCCCAAGCACTTGGATCCCTGCCTCCCACATGGGAGACCCAGATGGAGTTCCAGGCTCCTGACTTTGGCCTGGCCCAGCCCTAGCTGTTGTGGCCATTTGAGGAATGGACGCGTGGATGGAAGATCTCCCTCTCCCTCTCCCTTGGCCCTTCCCCCTCCTTCTCCCTCTGAAGAATGGGAAAGTTAAGAGATGTAGACATGCTTGGTCACTCAGTAGGTGAAGAAGCTGAGATCTAAAAGTGAATGTTCCCCTCCAAAGACTGCACTCATTGATTTGTGCCAGGTGGCCACACCCCATTACAGACATCCCCTGCTTTGGCAAGCACACACCTCGGAGCTACCGGCTGGTTTTGCAACTCTGGGAAAACATTCTAAAGGCTTTGAATCTCAGATTTCTTCACTATAATAACAGCACCAATAATGAACTGTAAGAACACCAATAATAATACTAATGGCATAGAAGTACAGAGACGATTTAATGAGATAAGTATACACAACACAATGTGTGAAGCACATACATATTAATACACAACACAGTAACATCTCTAAAGTATTAAGTACCTCATACACTGTAAACATCAACACATTAAAAAAGGTAGGTAAATATGTTCATGGGTGGTCTATATAAAACGTTTGTATAAATATGTACAAACACACATACATACATCCACAAATATGCATGCAAGTTAATTACTCATCTAACAAGTTCTGCCTTGATGACACAGCGTCACTGCCCATATGGGGATGGAGCTGATGGCTAGTGTTTCACAAATGGGCTTGATTTTGACACTTGCTGGCTTCAGTCTAGGGAACCCCCTTTGTCCACAAACCTGCTCAAATCCTAAAGGCCAACTTTATTTAATGTTTAACCTATGGAATTAATCATTAGCCAGACAGCTCAGAACTTTGCTTACGACTCTAGCAGGTATTTAGCACAAGCTCTAACAAACACAGATGTGGTGGCCATGTTTACCTAACTCCAAGTTAGAATCTGTGATCTAGCAATGAATTGCCAGGCTAGAAACCTGGAATTCCCTTGGGAACCCTGGTGTGTAAGATATTCAGTCTCCTATATCCACGGAAAGCACACTTCCATGGTTAAGATTTGCTATTAATAATGCCTTTATTTTATCCTTTACATTGTACTTTTAAAGCACTTAGGTTTATGGCATTATAAAATGACACTAATTGACGTGTTACCACTCTTTCCTTGTTGTCTGGAAACAACTTGAGTTGTTTCCTTGAGTTGTCTGGAAACAACTCTTGGCATTCTCTAGCTTCTAAAACGTATGGTAGGAGGCAGTAGATGGTAGTGGATGAGGCTGGTTTTCTCACAGAATTTGGTATCACTGACTTCTTCCTGGAGCAAAGGTGACAGCAGCGACTCCAAGCCAAGCACACCATATTTTACGAGAGAAAAACCTAGACACTCCCACTGTCTCCAGGTTTATGCTCACTAGCAGTCATACCCATTTGGACATCACTACATGAGTGGTCTCAGACAGGTTGTTTAACCCTATTTACCTTACAGTTAACAATACTGTACTGTGCACTTCAAAATCTGTTGAGAGGATAGACCTCCTATTAAGTGTTCTTACCACAATGAAATAAAATTTTGAAAATCCTACTTCATAGGGATGAAAAAACTTAAATAAGTTAATAAGGAAAAATAATCAGTGTCTGGCACATGGTATAACACAAACAAATGGATAAAACACATATTTTCTGCTATTTTTTAATTGCTTCCATAGCCATCTTATAGACCTGATAAGACTATAAGCAATTTAAGGCCATAGATCTCACTGGCATTATGCTTTCTTACACATTCTCTCCTCCTCAATGAACTTGGCCCAGCATTAGACACATAAATTCGGTCAGCAACAGATAGTTGTGGGTTCAGCTATGGCAGCACTGCCCAGGAGAAAACACCCTAGAATACACTGAGTGCCACTTCAACCAATGCCTCAAGACCAATGGCTTGCAAAATATTTAACCCCCAAATTTGGTAACAATTTTATGTTGTAACCCAATACAAACATGAATACTAAATACATACACTCTATAAAAATATACACTATATAAATATCCACATTTTTATAGTGTAAATAACTGAAAAGCTTTACAAAACAATACTTATCTTCACTACATGAAATCTGCTGATACTTTCTATTCTAGAAACCTATAAATCTAGTCTATTAAATCTAGTCCAGTGCCTCTCAAACTTCAATGTTCATTCAAATCACTTGGGTATCTTGATAAAAAGAAGATCAGATTCAGTGGGATTTGGGATAGGATCAGAGAGTCTGTGTTTATTTCTATCAGATTTCCAGGTTACAGTGGGGGGCTTTAGATTACACATTGAGTAAATAAGAGTCTAGTCTAATTTATTTAAGATTTTTGTTATTATTGAATGCTGGAAAGGGCTCTCTATATTTGTGCCATGATCCACTTAATGCTTGCAATCTGAAGTCTGTAAAACACCATTCTAAAGAATTTCTAAAGTTTCTGTCACCTCTATAATTCCCTTGTTAGTTTTCCCATCCTTGGGTAGAAATCTAAGGCCTAAAAAAGGAGCGGGAGTAGGGGAGAAACTTAGAAGCCAGAATGACTCAAAGGCTACCTTTCATACAGACTCAGGCAGATACACCTGCCTGGTTCTCAGCCCATTCCCCCACTGTCCCAAGCCTACACCTTGCATCTGTCTTCATTAACTGATTGAGCACTTACTAAAAGCAGAATGATGAATTAAGTACTTTACATCTAACCCATCCACTCCTACAATCACCCTATGAGGTTATCCCCATTCTACAGATGAGAGAAGCCACTGGTACAGGCACTCCACAGCCTATACACTATAGCCTACCTTGAAATATTCACACTCTTGTGTAGTCTCCTCTCATGCTGAGTAGGGCTGACCTAGCAATTAACTGATTATTGAGGAAATGACAGTATGTGACTTCCAAGGCTCACTTAGAAAATACAATGTGGCGGGGCTGGCGCTGTGGCACAGTGGGTTTAAGTCCTGGCCTGAGGCGCCAGCATCCCATATGGGTGCTGGTTCTAGTCCCGGCTGCTCCTCTTCTGATCCGGCTCTCTGCTATGGCCTGGAATAGCGGTGGAGGATGGCCCAAGTCCTTGGGCCCCTGCACCCACATGGGAGACCAGATCGGTGCAGCTCCGGCCATTGCGGCCATCTGGGGAGTGAACCAGCAGATGGAAGACCTCTCTCTGTCTCTATCTCTCTACTCTGTCTTTCAAATAAATAAAATAAATCTTAAAAAGAAAATACAATGTGGCTTGTGTCTTTTACTCTCTTAGAACATTCCCTCTGTTAGAAGCTAGGTTGCCACATCATGAGAATTCTCAAGCAAGCTTACGAAGAATCCCATACAACAATGGACCAATGCCTCCTGCCAACAGCCAATACCAACTTGTAAGGCAACAAGTGAGCCACTGTGGAGGTGAATGCTCCAGCTCCAAGTCTTCCAACGTCTGCAGCCCTAGGTGGAATCCTAACTGCAACTTCATGTGAGACCCCATGTCACCTTGCTAGGCCTTGCCCAAATTCCTGACCCACAGAAACTGCCTGAGATAATAAACACTGCCTATTGTTTTTCACCATTAAATTCTGGGGTAATATGTAATGCATTAAATTTTAGGGTAATATGTTACACAGCAACAGGTAACTAATACGGTTATTAACTAATGTTATAATGTAACATTATGGTTCAGCCTAAAAAGAAATGTGAAACTTTGTCACGATGGCCCTTTGGATAAACTCTTCATTGTGCCTGCTCATGTGGTTCAGCAAATTTTCATTCTCTTCTTACAAAGGACCTTGTGGGAGGCATTGATTTTCCAAGTCCATGCATGTTGGAATGACCACATGACTTGCTCTGGCCAATTGGATATGGAGTTGTAATGTTACATCACAACTGACCAGAAGCTTCTGTTGGCACTACAAGAATCTGCCTGCCCTCTTTAGCTCCATCAGTTGTCTGTAGAAACAACATACCCCAGACAAGTACATGTATTCCTTTGTAGCATTGAGAAGACATCAAACACAGACTTGAACTTAACCTCTAGCTTGGACATAAGCCAAACTGAGGCCAAGCAGAAATGCAACTGAGTTAGAGACTCATGAGTGGAAAATAAGTGCTAAACCCTAAGGCTGGGGGTTGTTTGTTACTGCAGCAAAAGCTGACCAATACACTCACCATGCTGGATAATGCCATGATCCATAAGCCGGTGGCAAAGCTGCTCCGCCTCTTTCCTTGTGGTAGCCTCGCCTTCCTGAACCAGCCAATCAAGGAATTCAGACGCCATGAAGGTGCGTTCATATTTGACACCCTCCTCTTCCCTGGGCTGCAGGAGTGTGTTTTCAGGGCTCATCAGCCTGGGAGGTAAAAAAGGAAAGATAACAAATCTACACAAAAAGAAAAAGTTCATTTGAAATCCTACATTACAGGCTTCTCTGAAGTACTATAGTGAAGTTGTCAGGCAAATATTGCTACTAACATAATTCCTGATAGGAGGATCTACTTCAGAAGTGAACAAGGTACAGCAGGGCATTTGGTGCAGTAGTTAAGACCCTGCTTGGGACTCCTGCATCCCATATTGCATTTCCAGGGTTTCAGTTCCAGTCCAGTTTCCTGCTATTGCACACCCTGAGAGGCAGCATTGATGGCTTACGTACTTGATCCCCTGTCAACCATGTGGGAGACCCAGATGAAGTTCCTGGCTCCTGGCTTAAGCCCAGCCCTGGCTATTTCAGGCATTTGGAGGTTACTAAAACTTCATACCATATGGTGTTCATTTTCAGTGTTTTCAGAGTTAAAGCTCAACTCTGCTATAGAAAGAATATGTGACTAGGAATTAGAAGATTTAAGTTTGTCCTCAATGGGCCAATTAGTAGCAATGAGATCTTTTTTCTTTCTCGAGAATACAATGGTATCTTCATCCAGTTGGTGTGAGAAACATAGCTGAGGTCTGAGGGAAATAATTTTAGTGTACAAAAATAATGAATATACAATGGTTATAGCATTTAACTAATCATATGCCTATATTGGGGCATGATGAATTTGTGCCTATTAGTTATTAGCTGATAAAAATGGAGACTCCTTCAAGTTCCTTCCACTCTTCCCAGAAGAATTGCTGGAGTAATACTATTTGAAAGCCATTGAAGAGGCGTGATTATGAAGTAGGAGACTTGGGTCTCAATCACAGCTCTGCCATACACTAGTCATATAATTTCTCACTACTTAGTGTCCCCCAAATTAATATTAAATGAGGAAGATAATACCTCTCCAACTTGCTTCTTTGGATTGCTATTAGCATCAGAAACTTTTAGGGGAAAAAAATCACAAATTTTCTAAGTAGATGAATGTCTTCTTTTTTTTTTAAAAGATTTTATTTATTTATTTGAGAGGTAGAGTTATAGACAGTGAGAGGGAGAAACAGAGAAATAGGTCTTCCGTCCATTGGTTCACTCCCCAAATGGTTGCAACAGCCAGAGCTGCGCCAATCCAAAGCCAGGAGCCAGGTGCTTCCTCCCGGTTTCCCATATGGTGGTACAGGGGCCCAAGGACCTGGGCCATCTTCCACTGCTCTCCCAAGCCACAGCAGAGAGCTTGATTGGAAAAGGAGTAGCCAGGACTAGAACCGGCGCCTATATGGGATGTCGGTGCTGTAGGCAGGGGATTAACCTACTGCGCCATGGCACCGGCCCCATGAATGTCTTCTTTTTAAAAAAGATGCACTTATTTGAGAGGCAGAGCATTAGAGGAAGAGGGAGAGAAAGAGAGATCTTCCATCAATTAGTATACTACTCAAATGGCCACAAAAGCCAGGGCTGGACAGGCTGAAATCAGGAGCGAGGAACTCTATTTGGATCTCCCATGTGGACAGCAGGAACCCAAACACTTATCTCATCATCTGCTGCCTTCTTAGGCACATTAGTAGGGAGCTGTGTTGGAAGCAAAGTGGCCAAGGCTTGAACCAGCACTCTTATATGGGATGCTGGCATCACAAGCAGATGCTGAATCTGCTACACCACAATGCTGGCCTCTAAATGTCTGCTTTTATATTAGCGTGTTTGTAAAAGATATTAGCTTTTTATAAGTTACTTAAAACATCCTCATTCAGCATGTAACGAAACTCATTAAAAATTTCTTATTTAGATCTTTTCCCCCAGGACAATTCTCCTCTGCACTTTAATCTATTCTTAGGAACATCCATGAGACTGCTTTCCAAGGGTTAGTCACAGCTGAGTTAGAATGAGCAAGAATAATTCTATTTCATATAATAATGGCCAGCCCTTTGTAGAATGTGAAAGGACCACATTTACATGAACAGTGACAGAATCACAGGTAATGTCCACATTGGCCTTCTCTTGCTTCTCTCCAATGGGATGTCACCTCTTATCTCATCAAGAGGCCAAGTCCATTTCAGCTTTCCTTGAACTTGTGCTGCTTTCTGACTTGTTTGGACTACCAGGATGTGGCAGAAGTGACATTATGCAATGTCTACAATTAGACCTTAAAAGGCCTTGCAATTTCCTCCTCCACTTGGAATGCCATCCTGAGCCCACCATGTCAGGGAGCTGGTCTAGCCTCCTGGAGAAGAGGCCACAATGAAGACAACCAAAGTGCCCAGATAATGATGCCAAATCTCAGGTGAGTGAACAAGGCCATGCTGGACTTTCTAGCCCAGCTGACCCTCCAGAAGCCACATAAATGAACACAGATACACACACTCACAAGCAAATTATATAGCTTAGAGAGTATAAAGGAAATGACAAACATTGGAAGTTCCTGGAAATAAACTGCAGAGACTAGAGTCACATGGAGGTATACCAGGGGCCTGAGCTGGTGATGGGAATCTAGAACACAGAATGGAAGGGCGGGTGGGCAAGCCCACATAAGGAATTCTCCCATGCCTTTCTCCTTTCTGACCCTTGAAGAAGGTATTTTTTTTAATTTTTTTTTTTATTTTTTGACAGGCAGAGTGGACAGTGAGAGAGAGAGAGACAGAGAGAAAGGTCTTCCTTTGCCGTTGGTTCACCCTCCAATGGCTGCTGCGGCTGGCGCACCGCGCTGATCCGATGGCAGGAGCCAGGAGCCAGGTGCTTTTCCTGGTCTCCCATGGGGTGCAGGGCCCAAGCACCTGGGCCATCCTCCACTGCACTCCCTGGCCACAGCAGAGAGCTGGCCTGGAAGAGGGGCAACCGGGACAGAATCCGGCGCCCCGACTGGGACTAGAACCCGGTGTGCTGGCGCCACTAGGCGGAGGATTAGCCTAGTGAGCCGCGGCGCCGGCTCAAGGTATTTTGAAATGAAAAAAAAAAGGGGGGGGGGGGACTGGTTTCCTCCATTTTCTGGCTTTAGACATTATCTCCTTTAAGAAATCTCCCATGTCTACAAATCTGGACCATATACCCCTTGTAAGGCCTTTCTTAGAGCAAAAGGAGAATCACCTGCTCAGTTGACTATAACCTTTTGGAGACCAAAGTCCCTATCTTTGTGGTTCGCAGTTGCTTCCTAAAACACTGCTTTTTCAGAGAGCAATGGCTGGGGGCCGGCGCCATGGCCCACTTGGTTATTCCTCTGCCTGTGGTGCCAGCATCCCATATGGGCGCTGGTTCTAGTCCCAGCTGCTCCTTTTCCAGTCCAGCTCTCTGCTGTGCTCTGGGAAGGCAGTGGAGGATGGCCCAAGTGCTTGGGCCCCTGCATCCACATGGGAGATGGGGAGGAAGCACCTGGCTCCTGGCTTCAGATCAGTGCAGTGCCAGCCATAGCAGCCATTTGGGGAGTGAACCAATGGAAGGAAGACCTTTTTTTCCATCTCTCTCTCACTGTCTCTAACTCTACCTGTCCAAAAAAAAAAAAAAAAAAAGCAATGGCTGAAGGGATAAGCCCAATCCTCTGAAATTCCATGCAATTAATCATTATCCAAGCATCAGTATATTAAAACTGATAGCTGCAGGACGATCCAGTGTCTTTGAGAGTTTTGCCCTCTTAATACTCTGAGATACACATATAGGTTCCCAGTATTCATCTCTGTATCCCTGCCCCTGTTTTGCTTCCTTCCTTCAACATTTATTTATTTAAAAGGCAGAGTGACAAATAGAGAGGTAGACAGAGATGGAGAGAGATCTTCCATCTGCTGGTTCACTACCCAAATGGCTGCAATAGCCAGGAGGTCTGCACTAGGCCAAAGCCAGGAGTCAGGAATTCAGGGTACCCAATATGAGAAGCAGGGGCACAAATGCTTGGGCCATCTTCTGTAGGCTTCTCAGACACATTATGAGGGAGCTGGATTGGAGGAAGAACAGCCAGGACTCAAACTGGCAGTGGGATGCTGGAGTAACAAGTGACAGCTTAATCCCTTATGCCACTAAAACAGTCGCCTTTACCCCCATTTGTAATCACCCTGCCTCTTCCAGCTCCATAATTTTCTTTCCACGATGTGAAGAAGACAAGTGCATCAGGCTAAATTGTGTCACCCTTTGTAAACAGAAACATGACCCGCCAGCCCAGAGTTAAGGAGCTGGTGGCCTCTGGACAAGTGGCTAGTTAGCTGCTTCTGCCAAGAGGAGCTTTAGGAAAAAGACCAGCTGGCAGGCCCACCTGGTTTGGTTCAGCTTGCCATATAAAGCAGGCCCCATCAGCTCAGATCTTCCTTATTTCATTTCCCATTATAATCAACTCATGTCCCTACACAGGTTCCTCTTTTTAAGAGGAAGCCTTTCTTGGGATTTGATTTTGGTATTAACATGTAGGCTCAGCGTTGAAGCAAGAATCTGACATACTACTCACTCCAATCATCTCTTATAACAAGCTACCCTTTTAAGCTACATGGTGGCTTAAAACAGTTATTGTTTAACTCTTAGTATTCTATGTGTTGCCTAGAGTTCAACTGACTGGTTTCCTGATAGTGGTAGCCTGGGGTCACTCACACAACTGCTGCAGATTATGGCCAGGGTTGATGTCTGGCTTCAGGGTGTTATTCAATACAGCCTCTCTCTCCAGCAAAGCAACCTGGACATCAAGCATGGCAGTGCAGGACTCAAAAAGAGGAAACAGATGCTTCCAGAACCATTTCTTCTTCTTCCTCTTCTTCTCTTGCTTTCCCTTCTCCCCTTCCTCCTACTCCTCCTCCTCCTCCAGCTTTATCCAAAAGTAATTAACATATCATATAACACATTTAACATGTATGTTCCAGTGGGGTTTCTTTTTTAAGATTTATTTGTACAGCTCTGGCTGTTGCAGTCATCTGGGAAGTGAACCAGTGGTGGAAGACCTCTCTCTGTCTCTCCTCTGTCTGTGACTCTGCCTTACAAATAAATAATAAATCTTTAAAATAAGGACAAGTTGTCAAACCATCTCCACAATCCAT